ATGTCCAAGACGAAAAAATGATATCATATTTTGACCTTCATATTTTGACTGACTGGAGCAGGTTTGGATTTTCCTTTTCCCATAATCTGTCTCTGCTAATAACTGATTCACAAGACTGCGGCTTTTCCTTTTGGCAGGAGGATGATTTGGTGTCTAGTTGCAGGCTAACATCTGAACTCAATGCCTGGCCGTCTGATTGTCGACACGATCTTTCTCAGGGGTATAATGTACGCAGACTAGTCTGGCTTTTGAACCACTCTCTACGATTTAACATCTGAGGGTACAGCTAATGCAAGAACTCCTACATATATCACCCGCATCTTGTAGACATTTTGCAATGCACTGAACTGTCTGTGAGATGCCAGTTACAATCGGAGGATATTCCACTCAAGCCAGAGGTTAAAGTGCCAAACAGCTTTCAAACAGAGGAACCAGGGATTGACGTATACATAATCAAAAGGAAACAGAAATAGGGCACTAAGTTCATCTGATCTTTCCACATAGACTTTTACAGTAGCATTCCAGTCAGTTATTATCCTGTCCTCTGTAAGAGCGCTAAGGACGTTTCTGACATTTAGACATTTAGACTTCACGTCCGAATGAATACTCAACATATTGTGACATGAGAATAGTTCTAATTATAGATGACTCCTGTCATGTCTACAGTGAAGAAAATAAGGGGTTTAATTCATTTTTCCCAGCAAAAAAGAGTCTTATGGTCTGAGTACAAAAAGAGATCTGATAGCGCTTATTGTGCTGAACATCCGCATGTCACTTCCTTTTCCAACTGGACTGTGTACTGTAAGTTTTCCCACAGTGGATAAGGTCAGTATAGATGCACCCTTTTCCAAACATGGACATGCTCATTCTGTATGCCACCATTACTTATGTTCTACAGTTATGCACTGTCCATTCCTTCTTCCTTACCATTGCATATTTCATCTCTAAAATCTAAGCATGTCATGAATCTACTGATGGTAGTCACTCAATAAAGATCTTCTATCCTTAGCGTTGCTCTGAGAACCCCTCCTATTTTCTCAGAAACAGCAGGAAGGGTATGGGCGAACACAAAGCACACCATTGATCGCCATTTAGATGTTTTCAACTGAGAGGATGTGCATGCAAGACCCTGCCATTACAGCTTTCCACAGTTGTTGTAAATTGTTCTAAATCATTGGCACTGCAATTTATGATCTTTCAAATGGATAATAAAGTAGTTACTTTGGCTAGTACTCTTCTGTGACTAACTCTGAAATCTGTCCCCAAATAACAAATGTGTTGTTTTGCTCTCCCAGCTGCACCAAACACCATGCTTACTTGATTGACCGTGCATGATGGAACAAAACACCTTGCAAAATGTTGGCAAATTCAGCTTTAAAGGAGTGTCTGCTTCAGAGGCTGGTCAGTGATGTACAAGGAATGGCATGAATTTTGCCAAACACCTTCAGGTTTAAAGCCTGTGATGCCAGCCAGTCTCACAACACTATGCAGAGCTGAAGGAGGCTGTGGGTGAGCACTGGCCAGACCAAGATGTTTGGCAGCCCACTGGAATAAACTCAAAAATGAAATTAACCATTCTTGTAAACAGTCGGGTCGACTTCGTCCAAATTCCTCTGCAACGCCTCTGTTTTGCCTCTGTTTTGTTTGCAGTAAACTCGGGCTCCCTGCATTTCACAACCCTTTTTTGCACTGTTCTTTCAACAAGTTAAAATCCTCTGCCTTTCGGGAGTCTTTTTAGGTTTATTAGCAGGTCGCGGAACTGAGAGAGGTTTTAATACAGATGTCAAGCTGATGAATATGTGACTAGTCCCGGTGGATGAATGACAATCATTTAAATGCACCTTTAGCCATGTCAAACAGCTGTAAACACTACAGGATGCGGGAGAGAACAAGATCAACAAACTTCCTGCAATTCATGACCGCTACGTCAAATCTGATGGTGATCATCTGGGCAATAACATGCTATGTTGATTTTCCTGCTTCATAATGATAATCATCTACCCTTATCTCACAAATTCACCATTATCTATCATTATGGTTCTGATATTTCATGCAATAAAATGTAACACCAAATCTGTTTTTCATCTCATTATTTGACATATAGAAAATCATTCTGACAGCAAATGGCTCACACCCTTTGGCACTCGACAACACTATGAAATGGTATGCTGCGATGTTTGTGTGTTATTCTCTGTTCTGTCCTCTAGAAGCACAATGATCACGGGGGACCACAAGGGGCATATGAAATGTGTCCAGACATCTGCAAGGTTCTGTTTCCCCTGAAGACATTATTCATGGATGGATACAACTGAGCAGAGGATGTGGATTTGGCTGGAGGAAGATGGACACTATGTGAGCCTGGATGATATACAAGGAACACTATACACAAACAATGAAGACAAGAAGGAAATAAGCAAACCAAAACATGTGAGCTGCATGTACGTAAAGGGAAAGGCCTTGAAAAGTTGTTTTTCCTTCTTTTAACCCCTTAAACCTTAGTCTTAGTATTCAGTTGTTAATCTTAAAACAAATTATTCAGTGACTATTATTAAATTCTACCAATACTATCATTACTACCAATACTACTTCATCCCTCTTTGCACATTTAGCCTTTAGGCTCTTGGTGAGGTGCTAAGTGGATCAAACAAACAATAAGGGAATGCTGGGCCTCTTCTCCTTCCCAAATGAGTGTTTCATGCTACACTTTCAGGTTTGACAAAAAAGATGAAACATATAGATGGTTTAGACCGCTCTGGATTGAGATGAAGTCCAAACTCCAAGCATGCTATAACAAAGACCTAACAGTCTTGGCACTTGCAAAGCTCTCAAGAACAATCAAACCTTCCTTCCTTTTCTGGTATGGCGCAAGAAAAAAAGACTGATGACTTGACCTATCACGAGGCCCTTTGCATCCTGGTGTGTGCTGAGGAATGTATTTCCTTTCTCTCCCCTACTCCTCCTCAGGAGATTTCCTCTCACCATGTTAAGCAAAAGGTCATAGTTATGTTGTACAAACAGTGAGCTTATAAACTACAGTCTGTTATAGACGTACACTGCTTGTGACAATGTAGTTCATGAGCAAAGCTTGACATGAAAAGATATCTTTTAAACCTACTTGAACTATTAAATGAAGATATCAGTGCATCTTTTCTTTGTAAAATATTTGTCATGCGTACACAACGTATATTTCATTGTATATTTTGTCTGCAGTCATGCTAAAATCCTTAATTTGTGTCTTTTCATCTTTAAAATAATAACTGAACATTTTCCAAACGAATCACTATCTACCAAATCTGCAGCGTATGGTCAGTTACCATGGACAATAATTGTGACGCACTACTCTGTGCCAAGTAGAACAGAAAATCTTGCTGAATATATATGCTGAAGCACCTCATCATTCTATTTTGTTCTTTAATTATGGGCTTCTAGTATGTTTAGAGTCAACAGGTTTTCTCTACTTTTGTAAGTACAGGGAAATTACTGTCCACCTGGGATTCAAGTTTCAGCCAAAAATGCATAAAAACAGTATTTTATAGTAAAGAAATAGTACTTTACAAATCATTTTAATGGTAACAAATATGTGAAATAATGTTTAAAAACCTTCACTTTTCAGACACATTTAAACAGCTTTGAATGCCCAGCCATTCTCTGTTGTCAAGGACATCGGATTTTACAGTACATCCATATTGTAATAATTGCACAGAGTTTATTTTACGTACTCTGCTCTCATTTACTGTTAGTATTTTTGGTTTTGGTTTTTGGCACAGTGTGTCAGTTTCAATTTTTGAGTTTCAATTTTTATCAAAACTTTTCGTTTTGGTGTATAAATGCATTTTCATTGATCATGTTCAGACTCGCTTGACTGCATGAAAAACAAGTGTGAACAACCCTAGGACGCACTGTAAGCGGAATACAATTGGATCACTCAAACCACATTCAGATCAATCTTGACCAATCTTAAAATAGTGTGAACGGAATGTGTTTTCGATATCCGTATACAGTCACGTATGTGTCTGCGGTGCGCTGACTAGCAGGTGAGAGAATAAACAATAAAATGCAGGGTAAAGGATAAGCAGGGATGAAGTTATCCTTGAACAAACAGCCTTCGCTCACTCCGGGCTGATGAACATGCTCAAGCCAAGCTTGCTGACTTGAATCGTAAGGGGGAAAAAATACAGAACAGTAAAACAGAAACGATGTATGTGTAAACTGGGATCTCATCTGGTCAAACTGGGGATGCATTTTAGTCAAAAAGTGTAAACAGAATCCAGCCAAAGTTTATCCTGATATGATCTGGACTCAGAATACATGTTAAAGCAAGGTGTAAACAGGCTCTGTGTACTACAGACACAGGTTGAAAAAATACTGCAATATTCCGTTCAGTAAAAGTCTTGGAGAAAAGCTCTTGATGTGAATTTGAAAACAAGCTTCACATTAACAGGCTATCCAGCTGCTTTCTATCAGAACTGAATTCTCCATGAAAGAACATATTCTGCTGAAGACCTCCACACATGTACTGGCTATTACTAGGGCCTCTTTAGACCACTCATCTGCCATTATCTCATTATGGCATAATGTTTAGTCTACTCCTATACGCTTGTTCTCACAACATATGGGAAGATCCTTTGAAATGTCTCTCCCTCCTCTTTGCAGCTGAACTAATGAACTTTGGACATACCAGAAACAGCTGAAAACATCCCTGGAAACATGTAAAGACAGGTGCGAGAGACAATGAACTAGACAACTACATGTAACCGATTGAAGGTTCTCGGGTCCAATTTAAATCAAAACGTTCATGCCAGCCTGCATTTCCGGTCAGTGTTTGAATTACATTTGCATCTCAGTATCTCTTTTCACATTTGCATTTTTGTGGTGCTGTAACTTCAGAGCTAAAACTCATCATCCTCTCACATTTTTCTACTGTTACAGATACAGACTGGTTCTGAGTCAGGAAATGTGGTAGTGATGGACAGTTGTATAGGACAGATACAGACACTTACCCTGGCGCCTTTCTCAGGATAACACTGACACCCGCCACTGCAGTCTCGGCCACCACATGGCCCGGTGTACTTCTTACCACCCTGAGAAAAAACAAGGGAAGACAAACACACAATCATTAGCTCACTGTCAGTTCATGCTGGTTTCCATATGATAACTGTGGTAAAGCTCCACTGGTAAGTCTTTTTATCTGATGCAATATGAGTAAATTTAATTTGTGTTACTCTTATCTTTACAAAATACGTTTGCTGCTTATCCCCATCACTCATCATGGTAGTAGACAAAACCTTGTTGTACAGTTCATGTCTAGAAGAAATTTGTAATCGTTCGGGTGCTCTGATGTGGCAGATCTTGCTATTGTGAGATGTAAACACTTGCTGCCCTAAAGACATGCTCAACATCTCACAGATGTTTATGCTCAAATCATGTCACAGAGTGAATGAAGAGGCACAAATGCTTCCTTTGAAATACAGTAATTACTCCATGCCAGTAATAAGGGGGTAAGAAAGACAAGGTGGCTTTCAGAAATGCAGACATAATATTCAAGAGTTATTCTTCACATTTGGCCCACAACCATTTACCTAATTATTGCCAAAAAGACTGTAGCTGCGATATGGACAATCTTCAAACTCTGTAACAAAGACTTGACAACCTGAGTAGTCTTCAAGGGTGTTGTCCCCTAATCATAACAGGCCTCAGTTCTTAACTTTATCATAGCTAACACCAGCAATACTTTCAGAAACTTTGGTGATGTCTGTTGTAGCTGAAATCAGAGTAGCTGCAATGCAGGTATAGTAAAATGTGTCACCACAGGGAATTTCTGTGTCCTAATCTCTCATGTGTTTCTACCGCTAAATAAAAGAAGCACAATGATGTTTCTACTGTGGGATGCACTGTGATAGTTTCTGAGCAGGTGTGCGCACACATTCAGAATGGAATTCGGATTGCTAAGGGATTATTATCGCTTTGTTGCATCATATTAACAGTAAAAAAATGACTGAAGTGTAAAGAATATTCTTTTGAAGCATATTCATTCGTTTACTTGTTCAAGAAGATGGTTCATCATTTAAGCATTGTTCCTATCATCAAGAGATTGCAAGTTTGGTCCACGGCAATGCCACAGCCATCCATCACTGGGAGTCTCTCTGGATGGGTAGGGTGGCCCTGTTCCCTGCCTGATTTATCAGCAAGATGCAAACTATTCTCCTCCATGCATGTTGAGCAGTATGTTGTGTTTATGGCAGTTTAAAAAGATGTAGTGGTGCTTCGCTGTCTCGGAGTACGCATATGCTAGCCTTCATCCTCTCAGCTTGGTAGTATTGTGCGTAATGGAGACATAGCTCAGCGAGTGGGAATTAGCCATGAAAAAATTGTTTAAAAAAAGTAGTTTATGATACAAACAAATTAAAAATCCAATCTAAAACAAAACAGCAATGAGAAAACTGAAAATTGTGAAATCTGAAACTGTTATTAGATGAGAAGAGTAGATTAAAAGGCATAAATAACTGGTTTTTGTCTTATGATTCAAGGGTTAATAAACATTCTTTTCTCTCTCTATATGCCTCAGTGAGCACAAAGCAATGTCATTAGTATACACGGAAAACACTGAGATCAAATAGTGCTCACTTAATCATGTGGTAACAGAGGTTCTGCATTAACCTGAACCAGCAACTGTTTATAGCAATTCTATGATAACAAGATTTGCCAAAAAAAAACTTGCAAATGAATATAAATCCTATAAATGGCCAGGACCCCCTAGTTGAGAGTTTAAAGGGTTAATGAGCAAACAAATTAATCATTTATAAAAGAATGGCCAAAAAGTTCACTTTCTTGAGAGTCATACTTTCTATCATGTCACACCAGCTCAACCTACGTGTCTAGGGAATGCATGTGTCAGTTTGTGTCTCTCGTTCTTCCACAAAGAACAAGCAGAAAACTGGAGGCTTTATCCTTGCAGTGCAAAAAAGTAGAAGCATATGAATAGACGGAATTCTGCCTTGTTACGTAGATTCAAGATTTTGGATGTAAAATTTACAAAGGCCACATTCATCTGTCTGGCCAACACCACAAAGACATCCATTCAGACATCCTTTCATGATCCTTCATGTTTTGAACACAAAACAGAAAACCTTAAGTGACCAGGGAATGCATAAGACTTTCCGTTTGAAACATTCATTTTTCTGGATCAAATTCTTGAAATGTTCATTCATGCAGAATAAATAGTGAGATGGAACGGAATTAATTTATTCTGCTAGCTAAACGTCTCATGTGTTGAGCACGTAAGCAGAACAGCCAAATCAAGCCTTTTCCATGAGTTGAAGACCATTGACAGGCATGGCAATAATGTCTTATCGGCAAAGCTTCATTTGTGCACTAGCAATCCTGCAAAAATGTGTGTAGGAACTCCAGGGGGACAGAGAGCATTGTTCTGTTAGGCGGGAAAGATGAAAGACTAAACAGGAGCACAAAAGCTACACAAACCGTAAACTCAAACAATGAATAAAAGAGTCACCAGGTTTAGTTCATTGCTGCATAGTTGATGATTACTGCAGATGATGAGAAAGGTATTGTGCTCTATCCTGTTCCAGCCCTCCCACATCCCCCCAAAATCACCTTTTCCACCATTTCTACAATAACATTTTCCATGCCTCAAACAATAATCACCTGATTAATGTTAATGCCTTCTCACCACTATAGAAACTCCTGTGCAACTGCTTGAGTGAGGGATAATGAATACAAGTGTATGCATGTGTGCATATATTCAGTTCAGTGAACAGAGGTTTAAAGAGTTTCAAACTAATTAACAATGCAGAAAACAGGTTTGGAGGTTTTTTCCCACTGCTCTCTTGGCTGCTTTAATTTTGGTCCTATAGTCCTTGAAGAACCTTTTTTTTACCAAAAAAGAAATGTAAGAAATTTACACAGAAGCCTCAACAACTACATATAGCATTACTTTTACTGTATTTAATGTTTCCACTCTTTGTCATTATTACAGCTTCCATTTTTTTTGAGAGACTTGCTTTCAGTTTTTCAGAGAAATCTGCAGGGATATTTTTCCACATCTCAGAAGTTCAGTCTTAGAAGTTGCATTTTCTGCTTCTCACAATCCAAGTGATTTCAAACAAATTCAGTGAGGTTGTGGTCTGGATTTTGGGGTAGACAGTCTATTGTTCTGAGAACAGCAGCAGCTTCTTTGTTTGATTAACAAATCTTCTTCTTTTATGTCTTTTTTTGTCTGTTTCTTTTTTTCCTTCTTCACATCCTTTCAGACCAACAGCTTTGAGTTGTCTTCTCACAATGGAAAGATGGACCTAGCCATGTAGTGTGCGATTACAAACATTTCTAAAAGAATGGGTCATTCTAAAGAGCTCACTGAATTTGAGCATGGTACTGTAATAGGACGCCACCGTTGCAACAATTCAGTTTACAAAATGTCTTCCCTCCTAGATATTCCACAATCAACTGTGAGTGGTATTATTGAAAAGTGTTTAGAATCCACAGCAACTCAGCTAAGTTGAAACAATAAACCTTGAGTTGTTTTTCCACTGTCTTTCTCCAAGGCTTATTCTCAAAGGTGAGTTCTCCTTCTGAATGCAGAGCATATGGACATCATCCACAGAAATATTTCACCAGTGGGATTCCATGAAATGCATACATCTTCCTGCTTCATCCAAACAATCTGTACTGGACAAGTCCACAGTCATAGATGGCTAGTGGAGTGCCTCTTTAGGGAGACCTCAGATGCTCACATCTGTTTGTTTCTCAGGTGCGAAAAACTCAAGTGTTACAGATGAAACACCAAAGCTCTTTAGTCTGCTAAAGCTGTACGTTTGTACCTTAAATATGTGACAGCCTGAACAAGCTCATCTGCTGGAGGAGTAAAAGCATGTGTAAAGTATGACAGAAACCAGTTGTCGTCTGTGCTGCAGCACAAGCTCGGCTGTTAGCGGAAGGTCAAGAGACTGGCTGTTGAGGCCGTAGGCAGTGTCTAAAGCTGATGGGTCAGAAATCACTACCAGACAAATAAAAAGAGGAGAACCAATAACATGGAATGCCTCAGATGTTTCATTTTTGTAACCTTTGACATTCTATTTGCCATCAATAAATACCAGAGGCACAGAATAGTAAGTGAGTGAGCAAATGTCTGGCTATGAAAAAAAATAAACAATGCAAAAGAGCGAGATATTGGTTGATTTAGAATTTAACCATTTGGTTTCCTACACAGGCGGCACGGTGGCGCAGTGGGTAGCGCTGTCGCCTCACAGCAAGAAGGGCCTGGGTTCGATTCCTGGCTGGGTGACCAGGGTCGTTTCTGTGTGGAGTTTGCATGTTCTCCCCGTGTCTGCGTGGGTTTCCTCCGGGTACTCCGGTTTCCTCTCACAGTCCGAAAACATGCAGTCAGGCTAATTGGACGTGCTAAATTGCCCCTAGGTGTGAATGTGTATGTCTGTCTGTCTGCCCTGCGATAGACTGGCGACCTGTCCAGGGTGTATCCTGCCTTCCGCCCAATGACAGCTGGGATAGGCTCCAGCACCCCACTGCGACCCAGAAGGATAAGCGGGTTAGATGATGGATGGATGGATGGTTTCCTACATGGCATTGAGGGTTCTCCTCTACAAATTTATTTTTTTTATTTGACATAGTTACAAGGGACTTCTTGTCATGAAAATAGTCTGTGTTCACTCTGAAACATTTTCAGACCCCCCAGAACAAGTCAGAGGGAAAGAGGGAACTCCCTGCTTCATTCCAGAACTCTGACATATGAATGGCCTGTGAATAGTGGTTATATGAAAGTATATGACATAAAACACACTAAGCATGAGAGCTATTGACAATATTGGAAAAAATAAATGCTCTTAGAAATGTACAGTGAGCTATCATTCAGTTGTACTTAGATGTTATGTAATTACATACTTAATTACATAGTTATGCATTGAATTATATTTATTTTGATTTACATTCTGCATCGACAGGTCTATGTCTATTTGTTCACAATTTTCCTGGTTGTTTCAATGAGCTATGAGTAAGAAGTAATTAATAGGTAATCACACCATGTCTTTGTCATCACCAGTAATAACCATAT